AGCTACTCGGGAGGCTGAGGCAGGAGGATCACTTGAGCCCAGGAGTTTGAGGTTGCTGTGAGCTAGGCTGACGCCACGGCACTCACCCCAGGCAAGAGAATGAGACTCTGTCTCAAAAAAAAAAAAAAAAAAATCTATCTTTAAAGTGAGGTTACCCTTTGACCTAGCAATCCAACCTCTATGAACTTATCTTAAAACAATGAAGGGTACGAAGGTCTAATAATAACGTAGTTACTGTCATTTTGCTTATCATAGTGAAAAAATGGAAATAAAGGTACAACAGGGACTCAGAAGGGAAATCATTGTGTGAAATTGAACAATATGCCCAAGCAGGGATTGGACTGAAAAAATAAGATGAACAATAAGCATAGGTGTCAATTATTGAATAGTACAGAAATATCATCTCAAAATGTTACATGAACAAAGATAGTCACAAAAACCGTGTATTTCGTATTGTCCTATTTTTTGGTCAAATCTATATAAACAGATATAGATAGATCAGTGCTGTCCAATAGAACCTTCTGTGATAGTGATCAGGTTCTACATCTGTGCTGTCCAATATGGTAGCCACTAGCCACATGTAGGTGTTGAACACTTGAAATGACTAGTTAACCACAGACCTGAATGTTTAACTGTATCTAATTTTAATTTTAAGTTTAATAGTCATATGTAGCTAATGGCCATCATATTGAATAGCAGTGATATAGATAGATAGATAGAGTTAAAAAATACATGTCCATTAGTAGAAACAATTATCTTTGTGTATTGAAATTATGGATGGCTTTAATTTTACTTTATCTGCATGCCACTCATTTGTAATTATTCTATAATGAATGTATATTATTCCTGCACTAACAAAAAAATATATAAAACAAAAAACAAAAAAGCAAAAGTCTAAGCCAAAGGTTGGCAAACTATTGCCCAGGGGCCAAATACAGCCCACCATCTGTTTTTGTATGACTGTGAGCTATAACAATGAGTTCTACATTTTAAATGGTTGAAAAAAAATCAAAAGAAGATTAATATTCTGTGACACATAAAAATTATATGAAATTCAAATTTCACTGTGTGTCAATAAAGTTTCATTGGAACACAGCTAGGCCCACTTATTTATATATCATCTATGCGTGTCTTTGCACTACAATGGCAGAGCTGAGGAGTTGTGACAGAGACCATGTGGCCTGCAAAGCCAAGAATATTTTCAGAAAAATTTGCCACGTCCTGGTCTAAGGTAATCAAGGGACATAAGAAGTGTGTGGAGCCACCTTCATTCACCTGTTCATTCATTCATTCAACTAGGTACTGTGCACCCACTGTGGGTCAGGCCCTGGTTCTGGGCACTGCTAGGGGAGGGGAAGCACTGCTCTGTTTCTGGTTAAGGGGGGACGAGAGAGGGATATTTAGAGCCAAGTGCTTTGCAAGCTGATTCTCAAATAGCTTCACTGTGACACTTGTGAAGAAAACTGTCAGCAGGTGGGGAAAGCCCTTTTCACATTAGCTTCCCTTGCATTTTGTGCACTTTTACGGTTTTCCTGTGGGGCTGCTTGGGGATGTAGGTATCTGCCGGGGGATGCTGGCAGTGTTGTCCAGAGGCTGGCTGAGACCTGGGATGAGGCCTCACCCATGCCCTGTGCCTATAATGGGGCTCCTTCCAGAAGAGCATCTCTAGCTCGGAGGTCCCCCACTGCACTCCTGAGAGGAGAAATGAAAACGAAGGCAGTGGAGCATGAGGCTCGAGGGGAGCCAGCGGCCTGAACAGGAAAGACTCTTAGAAATCAGCAGCCTATTCTACAGAAAAGGAGACTGAAGCCCAGAGAGGAGGAAGAGCTTGTCCAGAGCCAGACTGGAACCCATGTCTTATTTCCTAGGCCTGTGCTTTCCACATCCCCTGCTCACAAAATAATAAAGTGCATTTGGGTGTGGTGGGAAGGGGCCGAGCTGGGAGTCAGACCTGATATAGAATTCCAGTTCCACCTCCCAGTGGCCATGCGGTGTTGGACAAGTCATTTACCCACCCTCAGTCTGTGTTCTTATCTGTAAACTTGATCATTAAAGCACCTACCAAAATGTCCACATGGAAAAGAATGAGGTTGGGGCAGGGTGCGGTGGCTCACACCTATAATCCTAGCACTCTGGGAGGCCGAGGCGGGTGGATCACTCAAGGTCAGGAGTTGGAGACCAGCCTGAGCAAGAGCGAGACCCCGTCTCTACTAAAAACAGAAAGAAATTATCTGGACAACTAAAAATATAAATATAGAAAAAATTAGCCAGGTGTGCTGGCGCGTGCCTGTAGTCCCAGCTACTCGGGAGGCTGAGGCAGGAGGATCGCTTGAGCCCAGGAGTTTGAGCTTGCTGTGAGCTGGGCTGACGCCACGGCACTCTAGCCAGTCTAGCCAGGGCAACAGAGCCAGACTCTGTCTCAAAAAAAAAAAAAAAAAAAGAATGAGATTGGACCCTTAACCTCATACCATATGCAAAAATTAACTCATAATGGATCAAAGACCTAAATATAATACCTGAAACTATAAAATTCTTAGAAGAAAACATAGGAATAAAAATTCATGACTTTGGGTTTGGTAATGGTTTCTTAAATATGACATAAAAACACAAGCAACAGAAGAAAAACAGATACATTGGAATTTATCAAAATTAAAAACTTATTGTATATAAAAGGACACTATGAAGAGAATTAAAAGACAACCCACAGAATGGGGGAATATATTTGTAAATCAAATTTGATAAGAGTCTAGTATCCAGAAGTTATAAAGAACTCTTCCAGCCAAACAACAAAAACACAACACAATTAAAAAATGGGCAAAGGACTTGAATAGGCATTTCTCCAAAGACATACAAGTGGCCAATAAGCACATGAAAAAATGTTCGACATCATTAGTCATTAGGGAAATGCAAATAAAAACCACAATGAGATACTACTGCACACTCTCCAGGATGGCCATAATCAAAAAATGAAAAAGAACAGGTACCGGTGAGGATGTGGAGACACTGGAACCTTCATACGTTGCAGTGGGGTGGGTAACGGGATGTAAAATCGTGCCATCACCGTGGAAAACAGTCTGGCAGTTCCTCAATAAGTTAAACCTAGAATTACCCTAAGACCCGGCAATTCTACTCCTAGGTACCTATCTAAAAGAATGGAAAGCAGGTGTTCAGACAAAACCTTATATATGAGCATTCATAGTAGCA